GACATTTTCTTTCATTTAACTACATTTAAGGATTTTTTGTTTGTTTTTCAAAATTTCTTCATTCTGTCGGATTTATATCCATTTACACTTGCTTATATATATATATATATATATATATATATATATATATATATATATATATAAGAAATGGACAAGGTCCGACAATTTATTTATTAAAGACATATTTTATGTTTAACGTTGTTATTTTATAGATACAAGTATTTAAGCAAATGCTCTGTTTATGATAAACAGTATTAAATAACGTTACCGGCCTGAATGTCCGAGAAATTTTCATAGAAATCCTGTCAAAAAACGAATATTTTCTGAAAATTTCTCTTCAGGCCGGTAAATAACAATACTGTTTATCATAAAAATGTCTTTTTAATATATTAAAATAAAAATATATATATATATATATATATATATATATATATATAGGGGTTTCACAATTGTTGAAACAAAGCAGCAGCCTCTCAGATGGAGAGAACTTAAGGTGTGTGCAGACCTTGATGAGGAGGAAAAGTGGCTCCAGCAGGATGGTGCTCGGCCTCACACTGCTAATGTTAGCATGTCATGACTCTGTGACAAGTTTGGGGAGCGTCTCATCAGCCGCAAAGCTAAAGTGGAATGGCCACTTCACTCACCTGATTTATCCCTCCTCTCACCCCCAGATTTCTTCCTCTGGGGTGGGGGTCCTCAAGGACAAAATCTACCAGAGCAACCCTTGAAACATTGCTGCATTGAAGGCAGTCATCACTGAGAAGATTCAATCAACCACCCATGAGGAATGTGCACATGTTATCAACAACTTTGCATGCAACAGTGCCTTCAAGTGAATGGCAGACATCTGGAGCATGTACTCTAGGGATCGTCTTGACATTTTTGGTTCATGTCTAGGACTAAATGGTTGCAGATCCTAAAATATTATCCTTTTACATTTCAATGAAATGTAATTTTCATTACTCTATCTTTTGTGGTCCTTGATTTGTGCCTAATTGTTTTGTTTCAACAATTGTGAAACACCATATATATATATATATATATATATATATATATATAGTGCTTATGTCGGTTTTAAATTGCAAGTAATTTTGTGCATGTGTGGTATAATATATGCCTATGTACATGCATATATATTTGTATATGTATACATACATATATATATATATATATATATATATATATAGGGTAAAATATAGTTTTAATGTATGCTATATTTATAGGTTAAAGTGTTCATTATCAAGGGGAGAGAATATGGAAATATATAAATGTACAGTCTGTTCCATGCTGACAATTGCATTTAGCATGAAACAGTTTGTCGCCTCTGGGTGTTGACTTCAATGTCTTTCATTCTTGAACACAATTTTCAGAATATATATATATATATATATATATATATATATATATATACCTACCTTTTTTCATTGATTATAGTAGACTAGGAAAATAGATATGTTTCTTAATCAGATTTTCTATTGTCCTTAGAGTTCTTATCTAATGAATACAAAGACTGTAGAAACTTGTAATGAAGATATATATTCAACTCTCCCATCATATGTGCTCACTTCTTAGGAACCGACTGCCAGACACCAGCACATTTTAGTGGTGAAGGTCTTGTGCAGAATCATCCACACTTTTTGAAGGGCTGAATACAGACACCTGGTGCACTACGTGCCACAAGGTCCCCAAACGACCATCTGCAGGTTTTGAATTCAGTTTTCCCTCTCCTAGACCGGTTGTTATCCAAGGCTATAGAACAAAGTCTGTCCTGCTATTTACCCATAGCTGGAGGGAGAAGAAGAGGATTCATACCTTTCCCAAAGACATTAGTACGTAAAGGAACGTAATGGATTTGACTGGAATTCAAGCTCGGCTCTCAGATTCCTCGATACAAGCCGCTATACATTACTCCACCATACCTCTGTAATATATATATATATATATATATATATATATATATATATATATATAATTCAATTTAAATAGAAAACAGAAACCTTAATGGTCCATTGGTTATAATTTTATTTCCCAGGCATATGGTTTTTACCTGGTTCATCAGACCACACACATATATATATATATATATATATATATATATATACCATTATAGGAGAAAAACAACTGAATTCAAAACCTGAGGAGGGTTGTTTGGGGACCTTGTGGAACACTATATGCACCAGTTCTTGGTATTTGCTTCTAAAAAATGTGGTTGGTTCTGCACAAGCCTTCATCACTATAATCAAAACATATGTGGAAGTTGTTTGGTTCTAAGAACTGAGTTGCTGCACCCTCATATGATGAAAATGATTATGTGTGTGTGTGTGTGTATATATATATATATATATATATAAGTGTGTGTGTGTGTGTTTTGGAGGTGGTTTTATTAAATAACCATTTTTGTTGGTGCCAATCTGGTGGGAATGAGTGCTAATTTCTCTCCAAATTTATAGACAAATCTTACAGTTACATACTGGGATTTCTTCCTAACCATTAAAAATGG